CCATCCAATTCTATACTGATCCATAGATAATTAGTTCTACTGAGTCTGATGGAACCTACCCCAAGTACTTCCAAACACCTCACCCTATAAGGCTGTTTCTCATGACAAATATGAATCAACCAATAGCTGCTTTTTCCTAGTCTAGAACTTTTTGATTTCAAGATGAAATTCCAGGCGTCTCCACTCACTAGTAGCTTTCCCTATCATCACCATCTCTTCTCCATCGAAGCTGTCCAAATCAATTTTTTCAAATAAAAGAGATTTAGTACAGAAGATCCCTGGGAAATAAAATTTCCCAAGATTCCTAGGAAGGTAATTTAATTTAAGAGGCTCCCAGTGGTGAAATTACTGTTCCAGCTAAATGAATGCTGTTCCGCATTGGCCTTCAGTAGTGATCATTTTTCCCGGGGTGGGAGAGGTTTGTTCTGCCTCCTTGCAGACAGATGCCTGCAGAAACACCAGTAACATGAGACAGAAGTTGGAGTTTGGCATGGCCATGGACCTGATAAATGAACAAACCTGGACTTGCTAAGAACTGTGGAGTCCTTGGGGTTCTCTGAGCTTGGTTGTTTCCTTGCAAACATTTCTAGCCAGGCGACAAAACATTTGCAAGAAAACAACCAAGCTCAGAGAACCCCAAGGACTCCACAGCTCAACCCTGAGCCACAGATATTCTCTTCCATTGCTAAGAACTGTGTTTAAAGCAGCCTATGTAGACTAGCTTGTTTTATGTCAAATCTAAGGAAACATTTTCTAGCCCTTATATCAACTGATCACGAACTTTGCGAATAGGCAACGATAGTCAGGAAAGCATCCAAATACTGTGTTTTCCCATGGAAAATCTGTTCACATACTATCAGTTGGATGATAGTCAAGCCTACTACATATTTCTGGCAGGAGTTTTACTAACTGTGCACGAGTAGATCCTTTTTAAATATTGCTGTACTAGTTTTTTGTTTTAATCAGATTATTCATTCTAAGCTTTGTTTCAAAGGGCAAAATGAGGGATCCCGGAGGAGGTTCACAGTGGGTTCACACCACCCCAATAAGTGGAGCAAGGATTTCTTCTTTCACTCTTCTGAATTTGAGGTGGTAAGTTTGTTTTTTTAACTTTTAAAACTTCATTCGGCTTATTTGAGGCGTGCAATAGCCTTCAGCTGTTTCTTCCTAATGGGGGCCACTGGTGCCTCCCAGATTTAGCAGTGCAATTGAAAGTGGGCACAAGGTTTGTGGAATATCATTTGTAGACCCCCATTTTAGGCAAAGGAGAGCAGAGAGACTACCAGGAATCTGTAATTTGTATATGTGTGTTCCCTACCCGTTCAGGCTCCAAGATGTACCCCTAGAATCCCTACAAAAATTGTTGCTGAAATGTTAATGTTAAGGCAACATTCAAGGAAAATTCTGCTGTCAAATAGGAAATAATCACAGCCATTAAATGCTGTGCATTTAATATATTTTTGTTTAGAGCAAATATAGCAATGGTGGCCACCTCATGTTCATGGTCTTGGTCTCATTTACAGCTTGGAAGGCACCTTTTAGCACATCACTCAAAGGCAAAGTGCAATCTTTGGCCCAAAGAAAGTTGTGCGGTATTGATCTAACCCAGTGTTTCTCAACCTCAGCAACTTGAAGATATGTGGACTTCAACTCCCAGAATTCCCCAGTCAGCCATGCTGCCTGGGGAATTCTGGGAGTTGAAGTCTACACATCTGAAAGTAGCTGAGGTTGAGAAACACTGATCTAAGCAAAAAAAATAGCTCTCTAGGTGGAGCAATCCCTAAAAAGGGTTACTCTAAGTCTAGAATAAAAACACAACTGGTTGGGATTTGTTAAGGATCTTTATGGGGGCCTTCAGGCCAATCTTTTTGCCCACATTCACAGATTTTTTTGTTGATATTATATTTTTATCAAGAGGGTCCAGAAGGTTTCATCACTTTCCACTTGGAATTCTTTTACCTTTTCCATACTTCTGCATTTTCACCTCTGTATTAAACATGTCTTGAGGAAGAAAACCCAAAAGAACTACACAGACATTGTTCAGATGGGTTGGAACCATTCAGGACCTTCTGTCCAGAAGCATGAGGCTTTCTGGAATCAAGTCAAATCTTTATGACGGTCACAGACCCGCACAAGGAGGGTGGGGTACAGTCAATTAAAAAGCATAGAAGATACATCAGAGTCTAAAAATAAAAATTACGAAAAGCCAGAAGCTATATTAAAAGAGAAAACAGAAATGCTCCCTGGATTTTCCAAAATAAATCATGGCATGCTGTTCCAAAGGTATCAGTTCAGCCCCCCAAAATCAAGTGGGAATGAGAAGAAAAGTGGTTTTACTCTTCTGATGACAACCTACATCCATACCCCAGACAACAAGCCATCAAGTTCCTTAAAAGACCACCAGCTGTCTGCCCTGTTTTTTTACATGACATTAACACAGATGGATTTGTCAACCTCTTATATTACCCAGCATGAAAAATGAGTGGGGTCCAAAAAGATCACAGAACCAGAAAGGCAGAGCTGTTACACTAATACCTTCCTTCATTCGCCTCAAATGAGACAATAAACATCATGGAACTGGCTGGAACAGACCACCATACAGATTCCCAGAGCCCCCCCCCCTTCTGAAGCACAACGCTTTTAAATGCACATGTCTGTCATGAATGCTTCTCAGGAACAAAAGAAGTTAAAGCATGGATCAGTTAGCCAGGGATGACGTGTGCTGAGGCCGAACCAGTGTCTGCAAATCAAAACTGCCCTGTTGGAACGTAACATTTATTCTAAAAATAAAAAAGGCACATGGGAGAAGGCATCTGAAGGAGCTTCGCGCACACATGCAAAGAACTCGTTCAGATGATATGGACATGGGCGGAGGAATAGCCAAGTATTTTAACCACACAGATTTATGCTAAACTCACACCCTCCCCGTCTATTTGGCTTTGTTTAACAAAAGCAGAAACTTGATCATTAAAAAGATGGCTTCTATGAAGCCCACTTCCACCATAAAAGGACTGAAACCCATTGCTGTTATTGTTTAGCACAATCAGTGACTGAAGAAGCCGTGCTGGTGTCCTACACACTAGAGACCTCCTGTCATCCTAGTGGAGCTGGGAATGATGAGACTTTTGATCCAACTGCTTGGTGGCCACCAGGTTGCAGAATGGCTAATACAGGGGGAACAAAGCTATTTAACCCTACCCCACCCCTTGGTTTTCAACACAACTGTGTTTATATCACAAAGCATTCTTTCTGAGGCCCTGATTTATCTGGGAGGGGGGGGCATTCGTTCATCCACCCTGTCCTGTATCTGCCAAGACATTTAGGTTTATGCTCAGTATAGAGTCATCGTGGAACTGATGAGGATTTATGTGGAAGATCAAACATTTAACACAGACTCTTATTACTTTGCAGCATCATAAGAAAGGAGGGAGAAATTCTTGGTGTGTTAAATTCACAGAAGGGGTGACAATAGAAACCTTGCGCCAACCTAGCGGAGGTGGGAAGATCATGTGGAAAGCCTCTTTAGCTGCTGTCTGCCCCCCTCCACCTTTGAAAAGGGGAGGGGACCTTCCAGCATCTGGATTTTGCCTGGCCTTTTCCCCTGGACAAATCCAGAGGTAGCCAGACAGAGGCGTGAGAGTCTAGCGTTATGGAGCTGCCACTGGGAACCATCCATTCTACAAGTCTCCCTCCTCTTCCTCCTCCTCCTCCTCCTCCCTCCTTCTGTCTCCATGGCAATTGTTGCCCAGTTTATATATTCAGAAGCAAGTCAGTCCACTGCATGGGAAAATATTTGCTGGGGGGTAGAGAAGCGGGTGAGTGAGAAAGCCGGGGCAAAGCATTGCATGCCCTCTCCCTATTCAATGGGCATTCTGAATCCTAGGAAGATTTTATGCCCCAGCTTTCTGCAGACACTGCCGCCGATGCAGTGCCCAGAACCTGAAGCCCACATGTTGTCACAACATAGAAAACCAAGTTGCAATCTTGGGGGTGCAGCTTCTGTTCCCTGTTGGCACATCACCTCCCCATCCGCTGCAGCTTGAGCAAAGGAGCCCACCCCATCATCTTCAGGCGATCCTAAGATCCTCCTCTATTGTTTCTCCTTGATCAGAGAGCCCATCGACTGGTGGCTGGGATGGTCAATGGGCTTTGAAGCTGTGCATGTAAAGATGCCCTTGCACAAGCTTCAGGGGAAGGTGGGAGGTGAGGTGCCCTCCTTTCTAACCCTATCAGATGTCTTCAGGTGTCTAGCAGGTGGAAGTACGACAGTCAAGAGATGCAGGAACACTTCCAACTTTGGCCAAGGGGTGCAGATGTTCCCTGCCAAGCCTGGCTCCTTCTACCCAACCCGAAAAAACAGCATTGTCTCTTTTTAAAAAAATACCCATTCCCCTTTGTCTCCCCCCCCCCCCCATATATGCTACACTATAAAACCCTCTTGGGTTCCTTGCAAAGGCCCCCAAAGCAGGCTTTCGTTTCTGTTCTCACACACCCCTCCTGGTGATGGGGAAGGTCTGAACCCACAGTCGTGCAACAAGACAGCGAGTGGAACACACACCATGCTTGAACACACACAAAAGGGAAGTACGAGGGAAGACACTGCAGTATTATAGGAGGTCTCTCTTTTATGGGGGTGGGGTGGGGGGTAAATGGGTTAGCCTCCCCTCCCCTCTTCCCAGGGCTGGGATGGAGAGGGCGGTGGGGGTGGA